AACATGCAATCAAAACAGCTAAGTCAGGCAAAGCGTGCGGGCCCGACACAATCCATGTAGAATTGCTCAAACTATTAGACAGCAACAACATACGACAACTGACTAATTGGTACAATCAAATATACAATGGCAATACAATTCCATCCGACTGGCTACAATCCATCTTTGTGGCCATACCAAAGAAAGCAACAAGCCGGAAATGCGAGGACTACAGACTGATAAGCTTGATGAGCCACGTGCTGAAAGTCTTCCTGAAGGTGATCCAACAGCGCATACGCTCCACATGCGAAAATGCATTGAAGTACACACAGTTTGGCTTCTGTAAAGGACTAGGCACAAGAGAAGCAATCTTCTGTCTACAGATACTACTACAGCGATGCTACGAACATCAGAAAGAAGTGTACATCTGCTTCATAGATTATGAGAAAGCCTTTGACTCAGTCGACCACGACCGACTAGCAGCTCTATTAAAACAACTGGGATTAGATAAAAACGACATCAACTTCATCATTGCTCTTTATTGGAAGCAAACAGCCCAACTCCGATATGACAACGAATTGACAGACCCAACACCAATACAAAAAGGTGTACGACAGGGCTGCCCACTTTCACCCAGTCTTTTCAACATCTACTCGGAGCAGATTTTTGATCGAACACTAGCAGATAAAAAATTGGTATTAAAGTCAATGGACAATACATCAACAACATCAGGTATGCCGACGACACTGCACTGCTGGCCGATTCAGAACAAGACATACAACAAATCTTGGACGAGGTTGCCACAGAGAGTCAAATATGGGGCTTACGAATTAATAAAAAGAAAACAAAGGTTATGAAGGTCAGCCGAACTACAAGCGAAATAACAATCAAGCTGGGCAGCGAAAAATTGGAACAAGTACACCGATTTAAATACCTTGGTGTAATTATTGACGATCAGTTGAACCATGAAGTCGAAATCAAGAGCAGAATTGAAAAAGCAAGGCAAGCATTTATTAAATGGAAAACACTCCTTGCAGACCGCAACTTGAGTATATCACTGAAACTGCGCACACTGAAATGCTACATCTGGTCAATTTTGCTGTAAGGAGTAGAGACGTGGACACTGACAACAACAGCAACAAAAAGGCTCGAAGCTTTCGAAATGTGGCTGTATCGAAGGATGCTGAAAATCCCATGGACAGCCAAAACCACCAATACACAAGTTCTGCAAGATATGGGCACTGACAGGCAACTGCTGAAGACCATCATTAGCAGGAAGTGTTACTACCTAGGCCACATTGCCCGAAACGACCACAAATACCAGCTATTAAAGCAAAACCTGGAAGGAAAAATCGAAGGGAAAAAACGACCAGGACGGCCAAAAACGACATGGCTCAGTAACATCAAAACATGGCTACAATTAACAACAGCACAAACTCTACACGCCGTGCTAGACCGGGACCAATATCATCGTGAAGTCGCACACGCCGTTAGGCAGCACTAAAGAAGAAGAAGGACTTTAAGAAGCATTGTCTGTAAGTTCGTTTATGTTCTTATAATATTGGTAATGCTGTTATAATGTTAGAATGGCCGTTATAATGATGTAAATGCCTTTATGATGCTGTTAAATTGTTATGATGAATACGAGACCTAGTTAACAACGAAGCCTGCTACTTTCCTTATTATGAATGTTACTTGTAATTTAATAAGTCGAGTCAAACTTGTACCCAAGTAACTATATTGCGATCCTGAGAGCAAGGACGACGAAATATCTCATCCACAATTTAGTGTTACGTGTAATACTGTACATTTGGGGTGCAGTGTGGTGAATACACGATGTGCCTTTATGTAACACAGCAGCTTATGCTTTTGTATAGTTATTCAGTGGTAATGTAGGGGCCTGGTCCATCCAGTATCTATTGTTTAGAATCATGTTATCTAAGACAATGTTATGATGCTGTGGTGTTCATTCATTGTGTTGGTGTTTCCGGGTATTAACATATGCTGTATCTGTGTTGTTTTCTTACCTGTTTTACCTCGTTAAATTCAATAAATGACGTTTGGAGTCGGACGTTCACCCTGGCTCTGAGGGTTTATTGGACACGAGGTTAACTACTCAGCTAGCGGTGCAACGCAGCGCACAGCGAGGCCGAGACAATGTGAGACTGTTTTCCTCTAAACCCAATACACAGTACAACAAAAATATGTATTAATAAACATACATACGGGTTACAGAAACATCCCTAGCTATTTCAGTAAAAGTGAGTCGCGAGAAGAGGGGGCCCACAGTCGGATATTGCATCGTCCTCCTGTTGGAATAGACATAACAACAATAAACAACCTTTTGCCACGAAGTGGCGTTGACGTCACCACGGCGCTTGTGCCAGGCTACGTGCACGTTAAGGCCACCTCCAGTGCCGAACGCCAGCTGGCAGGAGGTCACGGGGCAGACCCAGGTGCCACAGATCGACTGACTGAGATGACTGGCTGATACACCACCTGTGCCGCCTACTGTGCCAACTTGCTGTGTTTTAGCCGCCCGGCGCTCCGCTCGTTGTTGTGAGCGTCACTCCTCTGCCCTCCGTTGCTGGAGGGCGAATGCCTCCAACTGCCCAGTAGTGTCCTTCACGATCTTGACACCGCTCGTACCGGTCACCGGCAGGTCCACTCAGCTCGACGTCCTCACCCAAATCACTCCATCTCCTCTCTAGACTGTGACGCGCCCGTTCAGCCCCCTCTATCCGGCCAAACAAAAGCTGTGTCGACATGCGGTGCTGGGCATGCGGGCTACATGACCCCAGCCCCACACACACACACACGGATACATACACAACCACGGACACATACACAACCACGGATACATACACACACACGGATACATACACACACGGATACATACAAACACACGGTTACATACACACATACACACACGGATACATAGACACACGGATGCATACACACACGGATACATACACACACGGATACATACACCCACACATGGATACATACACACACGGATACATACACACACACCGTGACACACGGATACATACACACACAAGGATACACACACACGGACACACACACGAATACATACACACACACACGCGCAGATTTTCCTATATACCCCAGGCGAGGTCTGCGCTTTAAGTGACATCTCTCGTCCCCCATCTCCTCTTCCCCGCGCCGTGCTTCCTGTGGATGGTCCCCCCCCCCCTTGCTCTCCACTATGCTGGTTCCGGGCCCCTACTCCGCCCCCCGTGCCCGCTCCGTCTCCTCCCGCACGGAGGTTCCCCCCCAGCCCCCCAGCGCGGGCTCCGCACATCGCCACCTCCCTCCTCGTCTCGGCCTCTCCACCTGGGGAGCGCCAGAGACTGCTGCTGCTACTCGACCTGCCCCTGCTGCTCCTCAATTCTCTCTACTCCTCTTGCCGCTTCCTCCCCTGCTGCCACTCCTTTCCCTGCCTCCCCCCCTGCTGCTACTGCTTCGTCTTCCCCTGCTGCTGCTGCTACTGCTGCGTCTTTCTCTGCTGCTCCTTTCCCTGCTCCCTCCTGCTTCTTCCCCTGCTGCTCCTCCTCTTCCCGATGCTCCGGGCTGGGGTTCTCGTTGTGGAGCGCAAGAGGCCGGGCTGCCTCTCTGCTGCTGCTGCCCCTTAAACGAGACGATTATTTTTGTTATCTTTCCAGGTAAGTCCCACTGATGATCACTCGGCGAAATTGATTATCACGTGGAAATGCGGAGCAGCCACAAGTAGATTCTGAAACTTATGAACCATAGAGATACAAACTCGTATTTAACCACAGAGACCCACAGAAACCCGTAGAGACTCGTACTTATCGATTCCGAAACTAAAACTAAACAATTATTTTATTTTACCAGGTAAGGGGCCCACATCTGCCCACTGAGCTGTGAAGTTCTTTGTCGGACGCGACCTGCCCACACGCGTGGACATTTATAGCAGAAGCCAAATACTCTAAAGGGCTCGGAGATGTTAACTACCTCGCCCGGTATACAGGAGGTTCGTAGGGGTTCGATCCTTACCCTGACGCCTGCTGTAATGTGGTGGAGGCTGCGGTGCGTCTAACTCTGCCCGTGGCTTTTCTCTCCACATTAAAAAATCGACATCGTGCGTTCAGAGGATTTGGCTGCCGCTATCAATGTCCACGCGATGACGATGGTATCAGCCACTTCGCTGAGCTGTCGTTTGTGATAGCCAGGTCGCTTCTGAAAAAAAAGCTAATCATTCCTAGTAAAAATAAATGTTTAGTTATAGTTTTAGATATGTAATGCTCCTTTGCCAGGAGCAAAATGTGATAATAGTTTTTTTTAAGGTGTCAGTTTTGTTTCCAGATAAAAGGGTAAAAAAACAATTATATTTTGCTCCTGGCAAAGGTTCCAATGGTGTACATGCTTACTCCAAGCTCTCATACTCTGATGGTGCATTGTCTTTGAGTTGTGCGCCTTTTGGCATCATCTGATCCAACACCATGTGAGACTAGGCTCTAAGAAAAGCTGTCTCGGGTGTGGACCAATCAATTGCTAGGAGTGCATACATTATCAGAGTTGTGTTTTTTGTTTGCATTCCGACCGTAGGTATTGTGGTCAATGCAAACATGACTCCTTGTAAAAAATGTGTAAGTTTTGTTGCCAGATAAAAGGGTAAAAAAAACAATTACAGTATCATATTTAATGATGTTTAGTGATTTGTTTTCCTTTGCTAGACTTTGCACTCCTATCGTGTTTTTGTGTATTGTTGGTTGTAACGTTCTGACCCGGTGCCCCCTACTGGACATCTGTGAATATATATATATATCTCATCGCATTCCTCTTCCAGTCTAAATAGAGATTGTATTATACTGGTAGGAACCTCCTGGTTACACCAGCTCACAGGGGATTATTGTGTCCGTCGTGCAGGGAGGGGCTGGGTGGGGAGGGTAGGGAGGGGCTGGGTGGGGAGGGTGGGGAGGGGCTGGGTGGGAGGGGCTGGGTGGGGGGGTGGGAGGGGTGGGGCTGGGTGGGAAGAGGCTGGTGGTGCCCTTATACAACTCAACGTTTAACCTACTCACGCCGGCTTGTGCCCGCCCTAACAGTCGGCCATATTTGTGGAATACACCACGCCGCCTTTGACCCTGGCCATTGACCGAGCAACCCAACGTTCCTATCAGAACCCTCCGCAGGATTGTGTTTGTATGGAGGACACAGACACATGACGGGGTGTTGCGGTGACTCTTCTGCATGGTCATCGCGATAAATTTACACGTGATGAGAAGCCACTTTGTTGAGCTGTCATTGACGTGTGGCCAGGTCACTTCTGAAAAATATCTCCGTGGTTCTTACCTGATAAAATCATCAAATAATACATTATTTAAATGCATGCCTATTAAGGGCACCATGCTTCTATAGGGATTGCCATTCGTACGGCTATTTTAATACATAATAGTCAGGAAGGACAAGATCAAAGGGCTCGCATAATGCACATGCATAATGTATGTTGACTCATTAATCCCCCCCCCTCCCCACTTTGCGCAAGAGCGCAGAAGCGTGGTCACCACATCTACGCCTCTATATAAAGGAACGAAACAGTAAGACTTCTCCACAAATCTGTCTGTCGCATGATGAAGCTAGTTGTAATTACTGGCGAAACGTCGTACTCAGATTGTAAATGTTGTGGCGTGGCTCTCCAACACACCGGTGTGCTGTACTCGTGACGAATTGGCACGTTCTGTTTACGTGACAACCCTTACTAGTTGGCTGTGTCGGGTGGTGGCGGGTTTTAACGACACATTTATATATTTACGCGATCTAACCCAAAAAAACCTCTTATGGATGATATTGGTCACGAAAGCCTACGTGTTGAACAAAATTATAATAATTTTAGATTTGAAGCTTTCGTGACTGCAATGATACATACTCTTTGGTTTTTTCGGTAAAGTCACGTAGGTTAAAAAAGAAAAATTAAATCACGACGTTTCGGAGGCAACACAAGCCTCCGTCTTCAACTTGATGCAGTGATTTTGCTCTGATGGTTCCACCTGAAGACGGAGGCTTGTGTTGCCTCCGAAACGTTGTGATTTAATTTATTTGTTTTCTTTTTTAACATACGTGACTTTTCCGAAAAAACCAAAGAGTATAAAATTAAAATAGTTTATAATTCTGCACTCAGAGATGTGTGCTACGTTCTATGTGCATTACAAATGTTATTTGCTGTTGCTTCCCTCACTCTGCAAACTCTCGGTGAGCAGCAGCAGCTTGAGTCTCTCCCTCTGCTGCGTCTTCCTTGGGACAGACTCGAGGAGGTTGGCCCCTTCCGTGCTCATGGATCCGTTTGCTAAGCGGGACGATGAGAATTCTGGCAGTACGATCTGGCTGCCAGTGAAAGTGGAGACTCAAGACAACAATCACGGTTAGAGTTTTCTCCCCAGCAGCGACTGGTGATGGCCTGAACCAATTGTTGACAGTTGTAATGCAATGTTCATCTGAACCCTTTCCCGTTCTGAGACATCTGCAAGTTGCAGGGTGGGTGTCCCGTTCACCTCTGAATCTCGGAATTCCCAAGCGGCTCGGCATTAATTTGATTCAGAGAGGCACAGTAAGCAGCACCGTTGTTTCTAAAGACGTTGTTACTCAACACCGCAGAAAAACGTAGCGACACAACCACCACACTCTACGATAGCTGGTGCCAAACTGTGAACCATGCCCCCCCCACCGATAAAGTTATTTTATCTTAGATTTTATTCCGGTTTCATTTTAATGACGTAGACGTACGTACACGCATGTCATCGGAACGGGAAGGGTTAATAAGAGCTATGTGAGACTCCGTTGTCTCTCAATAAAGTTCAAAGCAAGCGTATCTGCAATGCTTTTGTGCACCGTTTTTGTTCCATTCAATGGTGAAAGAATGAATGAGAGTTCAGAAAAGCAAGTGGATTTAGGGCAGGACGGGTAACTAGAAGGGATGAAGGCCTGTGGTCAAGACTAACGTCACAATGGCAGCGCGAAGGAGGAAATACGCTTGAGAGTAGAGCGTGGAGAAGGAGCGATGAAATCAGCTCGTGTGTAGGTGCCGGGTGGATTATTACATCACGGTGGCGAGATATTATTTTCCTCTCCTGGTATGCAGGAGGTTGGGGGTACGATTCTGACCCTGACACCTGCTGTATATTTGGAGTTTGCATGTCTCTCTCTCACTCCCCGTGATCACGTGGATATTTTCTCCGGGTTCTCTGGTTTTTCCTTCCACATTTAGAAACACACGTGTAGAGTATACATTTCTACATGATAAGCCACTTCGTTGAGCTATCACTTGTGGTCAGGTCTCTTCTGAAAAATAAGCTATTATTTTTATAAACCTAAAATAAAAAGTTTATTTTTATTTTAGGTTTATATACGTAGGCTTTCACAACCAATAATATCCACAAAAAGGTTTGTTGGTTAGATTGCGTGAATATAAATGTGTTTTTAAACTCGCCACCACCCAACACAGCCATTTAGTAAGGTTTGCCACGTCAATATAACGTTTCAATTCGTTACTTGTCCAGTGTTGGAGAGTAAACCCACGAAAAATGTACAATTCAAGTACCGTGATTTTTCACCGGTAATTAAAACAAGCCTAATGAGGCGACAGCCATAGTTGTGGAGAAATCATGCTCCTGTTTCTGTCTGAAATATAGATGCTAAATGTGATGTCGTTACTTGTGAGCTAATAAGGTGCGAAGGCCAGAGGTGGGGGGTAGTTAATGCATGCATATAAATGTATATCTATCACTGGTTGGGTTATTCAGAGGCTAATCAACATATGTAATCTGCATGCACAACGCGTATGCGTAATGCACGCACATTATGCATGCACATCATGCATGCACATCCTGCCGTTTTTGGGTGCAAGAAATCAATACCTTCTTGGCTGCTCACAGTTAATCACCATCGACGTATGGTGACCTGGTATGCAGTTAAACTTTGTATTATTGATAATACGCTTCCAAGTAGCAAAAAGGCTGTAGTTATGAAAACGGTAACAAATTTTATTTCTCTAAATTTGTCTTGGCCAGTAGTAACTTGTTCTGCAAGGAACTAAAAAGGACGTATTATGAAGTCAACAGGAATACAATGTTTAATTGCATGCTTATACAGGTCATCATACGTCGATGGTGATTAACTGCGAGCAGCCAATAACAGATATTGTGATTTCTTGCACCCAAAAACGTCAGGATGTGCATTCATGGTATGCATTCATAATGTGCACGCATAATGTATGTGCATCACGCATACGTGTTCTGCATGCACATTATGTATATTGATTACCATATGAATAACCCAATCGGTAATAGCTACCCATGCATGTCTATGCATATATGAACCCCTGCCCCCCTGGTCTGCGCACTTGATTAGTTCGGGAGTTACGACTTCACATTTATTTCTCTATTTAGGACAGAAACAGGACGAGGATTTCTCCACAACTCTGGCTGTCGCTTGATCAGGCTAACTTGTTGTCATTACTGGCGACACGTCACGGTACTTTAATTATAAATGTTGTAGTGGGTTTACTCTCCAGCAGACCGGTTTGCTGAACTAGTAACTAATCGCTATGTTTTGTTTACATGACAAACCTTACTAAGTGGCTGTGTTGGGTCATGGTAGGTTTAACGACACATATATATTTACGCGATCTAACTCAAAAACCTCTTTTGGATCTTTTTATTTTATGTTTTTTTGTGATTTGCTTACCTTTCCTATACTTTGCACTACTATATATTTTTTGTATTGTTGTAACTTTTTGACCCAGTGCCCCTATTGGACATCGGTGAAAAAACAGCTTAATGGCTCATCGGATTCCTCCTCCAGTCTAAATACAGATTCTGATTCTGACATTGCAGGATCATGAGATATGGTGGCGGCTTGGGGAGGCCTTCATCCAAGAGTGGATTGACCACGGATGATGATGCGTCACTGTGTTTTCATGGTGAAAATGCATCATCTAATCTTACATAGATTAATTTAGCGTCTTAGTCCAAGGCGCTTTATAACAATTATAAAATTGTGATGATAGTGGCTGAGATGAGGAGTGGGGTTTTTTAAGTAGTTGTGTTGTTATGGTGACAGAACACGTGGGAGTGGTTAAGGAGGGGTAGTGATAGGTGTAGTGAAAGTGGTGGTGATATGGTGGTGATATGGTGGTGATATGGTGGCGATAGGAGTAGTGATAGGAGTAGAGGTAGTGATAGTGGTAGTGTATGGGTTGGGGTAGTGATAGCGGTTGGGGTAGTGATAGGGGTAGTGATAAGCGTAGGTGTAGTAATAAGGCTGGGGGTAGTGATAGGGGTATTGATAGGGGTAGCGGTAGGCCTGGTCATAGCTGGGGGGTGGGGGCAGGGAGTATCGGTAGCAGTATGGGCTAGTGAGAAAAGATGGGGGTTGTTTTAAGGGAGGATCATAAACAGGTGAGTGAAGATTGTTGTACGTGCAAGATGATTGTTTTATGGACAAGATAATTGTTTAACGTGCAGCCGGAGTCCATGCTTGTATATCTGTTCATTGTTCACCTGTCATATTTCATCTCTCAGGTAAAGTAGCAGACATTCTCATTAAAGAGGAGAATATTCAGGCTGATGGGAGGAGTCTGGACATCAAACAGGAGAACTCAAGCACCAATGGCCGAGAACTTCACATCAAACGAGAGAAGCGGCAGATTGAACGACAGGACCTGCACATTGTGGAGGTCGACCTTAAAGATCTGCTGGTTGGCAATGGTTCATCTGTGAGACCTGGAGAGTCACGGGCCTCACGGGGAGACTGTGCAGCATCATCAGGCATAGCGGAGATCGAAGTGGAGGTGGACGACGAAGGTAAGGAGGGAGGGTAGGAGGGAGGTCCGTGTGTCTTGGTCGTTGATGTCTGGCACGGAGGCCTCCCCAAACTGTCGACATGCTAGAGATGGAGGTGCCTTTGGAGGACGTTATTGATAAAGGGAGCTCCATTTGTATGGGTCATTATGAGGAGGGAGGTCTGCTAACCCTTTCACAGTTGGTTCCGTCTATTCTCAATACCCAGCAATGTCTTGTGGATAGGCCTGATGCAGGAAGACCTCGCTTAGTGCTCGAGATACGTTCCTGAAGAAGTGAGCGCAAATCGAATCCACGCTAAGAGGGGTCATTATACCACTGCATATATGGGGATCCATTCCCGACGGCGTTATTTCTTTCCTAGGAGCAATATGAGGGCTTCATCGGTAATAGTGCTAATAATAACGGAGATGATAAACGGTTTATGAATAAAATAATTTGTTTCGGGTGCACACAATCGTCTGCTGCCATCTGGTAGCAACATTTTGAAAAATATAACTGTTATCAGCTTGTCAAAAGGAGGTACCAGCGATATATTCTTATAATTAGTTTTTATGTACTCTGATAACTGTTGATATACGTACACAGGTTGTTTCATTTTCATGACGGAGTTTGTAGTAATCCAAGATAATTCCCAAAAAAATGTATATGGAAAAAAAGTCTGATCACAACGTTGCTTAATAGGACAAAATGAGCCAATGCAGAAATATTACAGAGACTACAATGATTGTACATTGATGTAATTCTCAGGTGTACAATTGGCCTTGTATATTTTAATTTTAAAGCATTAACCATAAATTATGTTTAATACGTAGGCTTTCGCGACCAATATTATTCATAATCAACGTTTTTGGGTTTAGATCGCGTTATTTATAAATGTGTCGTAACCCTCCACCACCCGACATGGCCAATCAGTAAAAAAGTGTCACGTTGACAAAAGACAAATAGTTCACTGCTTTAGCCCACCGGTGTGTTGAAGCGTGAAACCACAACATTTACAATTTTTGAGTGCGACGTTTTGCTGGTAATTGCGTCCAGCATCATCGGGCAATTCGCCAGAATGGTGAGGCTCTGCTCTGGCTCCCAGTCTTAAATAGAGCAGCAGCAGGGTGACGTCATCATTAACTCAACAGAGCACTAAATCCCAAATCACGATCGCAAAGCAACACTGCTGAAAGCGATCCGATTGTTAAAACAATTAAAACACCATATATCTCATGAGTAACTGACAAATTAGCCCGTGTTTTGCAAAAGCAAAACATTATAGTAAGATTTGGTACAGTACACAAAATTCTAAAACTAGTAACTTGCACTAAAGACGAATTACCTAAATTATCAACAGAAGGTGTATATCGGATTGTTTATGTGGCAGATGCTATATTGGACAGACGGGGAGTAACATTAGTGTAAGACTAAAAGAACACCAGAGAAATATTAAACTATTGCAAACATAACTGTCGGCAGTGGCAGAACATGCTTGCCAACAGGGACACTCAATTGATTTTGATAACGTTGAAGTGCTGTGTAAAACTAGTTACTACTGGCAAAGACTAATTAGAGAATCCATTGAAATTGAGAGAAACAGAAATAACTTTAATCGCTCAGACAGCTACAGGCTCAGTGCGGCTTGGAAGCGTATTATTATATAAGATACATTACAATTCCTTATAGGGGAAACAAACACTAACTGATTACTAACGCAGCATAATTACAATAAACACATTACAACTGATTACTAATCTACAACTCGCATCTTAACAATTGCCTGATTACTAATCTAGTATATAATTACAATCACTCCCCCCTCCGCCTCGAATCGTTGCACCTGATGAGTTAATGAGTTAATGATGACGTCACCCTGCTGCTGTTCTATTTAAGACTGGGAGCCAGAGCAGAGCCTCACCATTCTGGCGAATTGCCAGATGATGCTGGATGCAATTACCAGCGAAACGTACTCAAAAATTGTAAATGTTGTGGTTTCACGCTTCAACACACCGGTGGGCTAAAGCAGTGAACTATTTGTCTTTTGTCAACGTGACACTTTTTTACTGATTGGCCGTGTCGGGTGGTGGAGGGTTACGACACATTTATAAATAACGCGATCTAAACCCAAAACTATAGAATGACATTAATAATTGTTTATACATTTCAAAATTAACCCTTCCCCATAATACATTATTGGCACGTGTAGCTGGCAAGGCTGTCACGTGCAGGATCCCTGTATGTGAATCGTGGAGAAATGTTTTCAGATAGTTTAAACTGTTTCTGCTGGAACTTGCTGGGTGGCTCAAGAGTTTAGAGCACTGAGATGTTGTAGGCTGATGTTCATAGGATCGATATGGCTTCTTTGTCTCGTGATTTCACGCCAATGAAAAAAAAAATTGAATGTTTGTGTGACAGGAACAGTTGTGAACGATGGCCTGGAGATACACTCCCAAGCAAATGCCCCGACGACAAGCACCAGAGAGAGGCCACACAAATGCTCCGTGTGCAGCAAGAGCTTTGTTCGTCCATCGGATCTGAAGAACCATATGATGAGTCATACGGGAGAGAAGCCGTACAAGTGCTACATGTGTGAGAATGCTTTTGTTACCGCATCAAATCTCAAGAATCACATGAGCATCCACAATGGAGAGAAGCCGTACAGGTGCTCTGTGTGTGGCAAGGGATTCAATCGCTCATCAACCCTTGCGACCCACGCCACGATTCACGCCACGGAGAAACCACACATATGCCCCGTGTGCGGAAAGGGATTCAGTCGACCATTTGCTTTGAAGTGCCATGTGGTGATTCATTCGGGCGATTGCCCGCACAAGTGTGCATTGTGTGGAAAGGAATTTAGAAAGGAAATGCAGCTCCAGGACCACATGAGGAACCATACTGGAGAGTGGAGCCATAGGTGCTCCGTGTGTGGGAAGGGGTTTAGTCGCTCATTTGTACTGAAAACTCACATGATGACCCACACGGGAGAGAGGCCACACAAGTGCCCCGTCTGCGGAAAGGGATTCGGCCGCTTGTCAACACTTCAGAACCACGCCACTATGCACACCGGAGAGAAGGTGCACAAGTGCCTCGTGTGTGGAAAGGGATTCAGTCGGCCATCAGCCATTAAGAGTCACATGATGATCCACACGGGCGAGAGCCCACACAAGTGCTCAATGTGCGGAAAGGGATTCACGGAGTCGGTGCAGCTCAAGAGGCACATGAGGAACCATACGGGAGAGTGGCGCCACAGGTGCTCCGTGTGCCAGAAAGGGTTTATTCGCCCGTCAGAACTGAAGAATCACATGATGACCCACACGGGAGAGAGGCCACACAAGTGCTCTGTGTGTGGGAAGGCCTTTAAGCAATACACAGCCTTGAAAAGTCACATGAAGACCCACACGGGAGAAAGACCACACAAATGCTCTCTGTGCGAGAAGGACTTTAAGCAGTGTACAGGCCTGAAGAGTCACATGTTGACCCACACGGGAGAGAGGGCATACAAGTGTTCTGTGTGTGAGAAGGACTTCATCCACTCTACATCCCTGAAGAGTCACATGAAGACCCACTCGGGAGAGAAACCATATAAGTGTTCTGCATGTAAGAAGGACTTTAGGCACTCTACAACCCTGAAGAATCACATGAAAACACACACGGGAGAGAAACCACATGTGATCTGTGTGTGGGAATAGTTTTAATTAATAAAGCCTTAAAATACACATTATGACCACAGTGGAGATCGCGATCCATGTGGGAACGGTTATCAAACACAATGACGGTTATCAAACACAATGACATATATTGGCCGTTAAAATAGCTACACTACTTGGATGTAAAGATTAAGAAACCTCTACGTAAGAAGTTGTATACAACGACCAGTGTCGGAGGCTGTATGTGCCGAGGGATGGCAAGGCTCACAGTACTGGTTAGGGAGCTACTCCTATTATGCCAGAACATCTGCAATCATCAAAATACTCGACTAAATTGAATTGCAGGGTGAGGCCTTATCCACCTGAGTAATAAAGCTTAGACAGGCATTCTGAAGTAGAAAGGGATCCCATCAAGACAGCGTTATTGACAAAAGAGTTTGCAAACTAACAGAAGAGATTTTATTTTGAGCAAAATTAAGAGTCCAGAAAAAAACTACTCGAGAACCACAGTGCATTTGAAAATGAAGTTCCAGAGGAATGAATTTCTCGATAAAGATTTCCCACATGGATATAGATTAGAAATGGGCAAATGAGTCCCATCAAAGGACACGGGAGTACCCAAAGGAAATCCACAGACACGAGGGGATGACACTCAAATGCCCACGTAGATGACTTCGACTAATTTCTTGTAATTCCACCTATCCATCTTATGGCCCAATTGGGTTTGGTAGTCGTGTGTCTGCATAATCAACAAACTATTGCCTCAAATGTTAGATTACAGGTGTGAGCCACAATACATTCTATTAACTTTGATGTAACTACACACACAAAAATATATTCAATGCCAACAAAACATCCTTCTCATAGCAAAACAAAAAAAATGATGTTCTGGTGATTGAGTTATCAGTCCTGATTGACTATTTAGCATTTGTTCCGATTGCGACCAGGTCCAAATGCCCAAACAAGGCTAAGTGGCTGTTCCCAACAGCACAGTTAGAGGTGTAAGAGATGAGTTTTCACACATTTCTTGGGATTGAGCAGTAATGTGAGAACTTGTAGTTTGAGATGAGAGAATGTTGTAGTTAGAGCAGTGCAGGGAAAGAAGCAGAAAGAGATACAGTTTTGTTTAGATTAAACTGCGTGTCTTGTAGACCGAGTTCTTAACTAGGTTTGGAGGAATTAAGGAGTTAAGTTCATGGAAAAAGTAACCGTGGTAGTATTGATTATAAGAGTGATAAGAAGACGCCACCAGTGAGTGAGTGTGTGGAGTGAATCTGTAAGTGCTGGATCACCAATCAACCGAACTGCTTTAAATTATATCAAGTATTGTGAGGTATGTACTGGATGCTCCACTCCAGATATGACAACATTATTCCAACGGTGGCCAAAGTTATGACTTGTATAGTCATGGTATATATTTTTTTGTTCAATAAGGCATTCGCACACAAAATAAAGCGAAGCCTTTGAAGCCTCCTTAACCAGGTTAGTAATATAGCCATTCCATGACAGGTCAGGTGTGCTTGTTGTACCCAACAGATATTACCAGTCTCACGATATCACGTGTTTTTGTTGTTGAAGGTGACCCAGTTTCTATCGCCCCAATCCAGAAGTTCCAAATAGTGATTGATAGTGCGGTATGTGCACATTGAACAGCGAGATGTCGATTGCGTTCGTCTTGCGATTTCAATAACGTGCACTGTCATCTGCAAAGGAGGGGATCGTATGAGTAAAATAATTAATCAACAGAACAAATAATGTTGGAGATGAAACAGAGCTTTGCGGAACACCAGCGTTATTGATGAAGGCTATCTCTTAATTACTGCATATATTTATCCAGGTTTGAGATCAAGATAAGTCACCTATAAACCAAGCTTAACATAATCCATGCTGATTACTGGGAAATGATAATGTCAAGAGGTTGAGGAATTGTTGATTATAGATGAAAGAAGTTCAATATCAGAATATTTTTTTATACTGGAGGAATCCGATAAGCTTTAAAGCTCTTTTTTTTCACAGAAATCCATTTGAAGTGTTGTGAATTTAGCATAGTTTGGTAGTAGTAAGAAAATGTATCGTTTCTTATTTGGCGAGTAAATCTATTTATTACTGTTCTATAGTTAATCAAATCAGAGAGGTTATTTGATGGTTTAGCTTTATTCCAGGCTATATCTCTAGTTCTCATTAATTCAGAAATGTTAGGATAAAACCAAGGTAATATTTAAATAATTACATTTTATATAGCATCATGCCAACAGCACGCCACACCACTGTACATTACTTGTATATAAGTAACAAATCCCATATATTTCCATTGGCTACATACGGCGCAAAAGAAGTCCAACACGTACCAAGCAAATGAAAACCCTTCTACCAATTAAAATCTATAATGAGTAAACAAATTAAGAAATGGCACCAAAATAAAGAGCACAAACAACACATAATTACCACAACAGAAACATGAGCCCGTTAGGTTGCACTCCACATCCTCGACCGCAATCCCAATTTGCCAACAAAGCCAGGAAACATTTACAGGAGTGGTGGCGGTGGAGTGAGTCGCTGGCATCTCACGTATTTGGTCCGCGACATCGTTTGCACGTGTATGATGCGTGGAGTCGTATGGGGACCAGACTTGTGTGGTTTGTCGTTATTTTGTATGCACACCATACACAACTCCCATGTTCTATCACCAGGTGACCTCATGTGCCACAAACACCAGACAATATTAACGCGTTCCTTCCGAGTGGGCAGGTAGGAATTTGGTTGGACAGCGTTATTCGTGCGATCCGTGTCACGCGGCGCAAGCTGCGTGAAGGCGGCGCGTCACGTGGTGCTGAGCCCGCCCGAAGCGCTCTATGAAATACAAATCGAGGGCGTGGCTATACACGACAGACAGACAAATAATCCCTGGTGGGCAGTGTGGAACTGTTCCTACCTGTAATACTTTGTACTTAGGGGTGCCTTTAGCAATGTCTCACGTCCGTGTAGTTTCTGTGCCTCCTCCGCTTGTTCTGGTTTATGCTTTTTATTGGTCTCTCGTTAAATAAAAACATGTAAATGAAAACAATACAACGTATCAAGGCACCATGCATGAAAAGAGCAAGATGACGAACAGGGTGGCAAAATAAGAGCCAGAGGGAAACTAATTGCGATAAAACCTTTAAAAAATGTTGGAGACGAGGCGGCGCCTGGCCAATAAATTATTACCTGTGACGAAGCCCAGGGGAAAGATAGGTTAGGAGACTGAGAGATGCATGGTCAGTGAGTTATCTTCTGCATGGGACAAAGCCCTGGACAACGATTGACTGGCAAGGAATGCGGACCAGGGAATAAACGAGGAGATCGAGAGAGGAGGGAGTTCTGATTGCGGAGTGCTGGAGCGTGGTGTGTTACCTGGCGTATGAATGGGGACGTTACCTGTGGATCATCTAATGAAGAGCTTTGCTGAACACGGCGTGAGCTGAATCCTTTAAAATATGAAGAGTTTTTTCAGGATATCAACACTATCTGAGAGCTGCATTCTGCACAGTCTTCAACTTGCCAAATACCTTATTTGGGACCCCAAACAAATATGTATTGTGAGAATACAAATGCCTGTACCAACCTCTTTGCATTGGTAGATTGAATAAAGACACTTGAGCAATGTTTGTTAGATAGAAATACGAGGTCTTCACGACCTGCCAATGCCTTCACTCCTCTTCAACTGATACAAAATGCCTCAGCCAGGATAATTTTTAACCTCCCCCACAATTTCCACACTTCTGCTCTACATTCCCAACTCCACTGGCTCCCTGTCTACTATCGCTGTCAGTTTACATTTCTCACTCTTAGTCTATAAATCGCTCCATGGTTTTGCCCCACACTATCTTGCTTCTCCCATCTCATTCTATGCTGTTCCTCCCCATCCTCTACGCTCCCAGTCGACCGTCCCTCCCTGTGCTTCCCTCACCTTGCACCCAGTCTCGCTCTGTCTTCTTGCTCCCCTTCACTGGAACCAACTCTCACTGCACGTAAAAACAATCAAGTTCACTATAACACCTTCTGTTCTCCCCACCCAGCCCATCCTACTACTGCTACTCCCTGCCTCTCAGCTACGACCAGGCCTACCTCAACACCTTTTACTACCCCTATCACTGCCGATACCGCTTTCACTGCCCAAACCCCTATCACTGCCCCAGCCCTTATCACAACTCCTATCACTACCCCCACCCCTATCACTAACCCTCACTACCCCAATGCCTATCAGTACCCCAATCACTATCACTACCCCAACCCCTATCACTACCCCGACCCCTATAAACCCCTCCTTAACCACTCCCATCTGTTATCCTGTCACCATAAATACACCACCGCTTTTAATAACCCCACTTTATTTAAACCACTATCATATGTAAAATTACATAATTTCTGTAAAGCACCCTGGAATAAGCCGCTATATACATCTATATCAGATAAGCTGTGCCGCAATGGAAAGAGACAACACAGAACCCCCCAAGATTCCTAATCTCATGCGTCAGGCAGATGTTCTAGCCATCGTCACCATGTACGTATGTATGTTGAACTTGTTTCGCACCGTACTTAGCCAACATCACTAATTGCAGGCGTGGAGGAAAGATAACAAACTAGATTCGAAGCTTTCGTGACTGCAGGAATTACTCTTTGTTTTTTTCGGGAAAGTCACGTAGAAATAAATTAAATAATAATAGAATACGACGTTTCGATTGCAACACAAGCAAACATCATCAAGTACAAATGAATGAGAAAAGAAACATAGTAAACTTGGAAATATAATGCTATACAACAGAGAGTCGGCCAAAAAACAGTCAACACCCCACCTGTTGACTGTGTTGTTGGCCGACTCTCTGTTGTATTGCATTATATTTCCACGATTACTATGTTTTCTCATGCACTTGTACCTAATGATGGTTGCTTGTGTTGCAATCGAAACGTCGTATTTTATTATTTAATTACATTTCTTTCTGCGTGATTTTACCGAAAGAACCAACGAGTAAAGACAACAAACTAAAGACAAAAGGCAATTGTCAAGAAACGAGTTTTCAATCTAGATTAAAAAGTGCATAGCTTAAGTGGCTTCCTAATATCAGAAGGAAAAGTATTCCAGACGGCCACAGAATTGAACATCTGAGAATGTGTGATGCAGTGACCGTTTTTGTTCGCTTGATAGCGAAAAGCTGCTGGTGGATGACTAGATTTTGCACCCTGGTTTGTTCCTTGACAATCAGCAAAGTGTTTTGGTTAATTTGTGGCAAGCACTTTTGTGTGTGATGAGTGCAACATTATAATGTAGTCGTTTGGCAACTGGAAGTCAATACACATCAGCAAGCACTGGACGGACCTGGTCGGATCTTGCAGTATCCATCACGACGCGCGCCAAAGCGTTAATTTTGTAAACGCTGCAGCTTGCTAATGGTTTTACCAGACGTCTGTAGGGTAGTGAATTTCAATCATCGAGCCTTGTCGATACTATGCTACACGCCACCGTGTTGGCTATGTCATGACTAGTTAGTGGTAAAATGTGTCGTAGAGCCCTGATATTACATTTCAGGCCCTGACTATATTTTGTACGTGGTGACAAAACTAAATATTCTGGTATGGTGCCGAGACTCTTTTAGATCGGTAGAAAACTGAATCTTGAAGGCTGCGACTACCACACCTGATCCTGCCACAAATGTTTCTACTTGAGCTTGAGTGCCAACTAGCAGAACCTCCGATTTTTCTGAATTAAGCAGCATTTAGTGTCGTGCAATCCACATGTGCACCGCTCACGTGCCATCTTTGATGTTACCAAGGCTCCCCATATCTAACTT